TATATATACAGTATATATAACGTGTAAATGTCAGAATATGTTTTCATCTCTAATTCAATCAACTACTGTGGCAATTGTATCATTAACATAAAGTGTGTTCCATGTTTTTGGGAGGGCTCCTAGAAGTCTGTGGTTGACCCCGTGGGACTCTGGTGACCGTGAGGTTCGCTCATATAGTTTGTTCTTCATCAAATTCTTTCCTGCCTCCTGTGTCGTGACAAGATTCACATCGAGGGTCAGTCAGCGAGGGGGATTGAGTGGATTTTGCAAGTTCACAGGGGTGGGTTTGAGYGCTGCAGATGATGCAGTTTGAGAAGTATAGGGGGTAGCAGACATCCACTCTCCCATGGAGCGAGTCACAAGATTAGCGAGTGGGACTAGAGACCTGGCGTCTCTTCTGGCTACAGCAGCAGCCAGACATTCTGCATAGCTGTCAGCAGCTCCGACAGTTTGTGCTCCTTCAGATTCTAGTCAATTTCTGGAACRGCTTTGTGTTTTTGATATGCCTCATAACAAGGCAATGAAATTAAACTCGGGGCAYGATGCTGGTCACTGAGAGCAGAGTGTAATGAAGGCTGCGCAGTGATAAGGATGTAGAAATCTCTGGGAAAATGAAGTGAGCAGCGGGGAAGGGTCAGCGGATGAGTCAGAGCCTTTAAGCCGGTTAAGTGTGTGGAAGTGTCAGAAAGGCAGAATGGAGAAGCTGTCACTGAGCAAACTTGATGTGCATAAAATGGCCTGGAATGAACTAAAAACTGGAAGTTTCTGTTTATTTTTATTTGTTTTTTATTCCCTATCAAATCCACAACTGAAAGTTTGTGACTAGTAAGACAGATACTCCCACTTATCCACACCCTCTGTGTAAAAAAACACCAGCCGAGCACACAAACACGGTGACATATTTTCACCAATTTCTTCTCTTGTGTGTTTTTTTTTTTTTTTTTTAGATTTTTGAGGCATCAGAATTTGCCCCCCACCCTCTGTACTCAATCACCCAGGGTGGCCTGGACCTCCAGCAGGTAAGTGTAACAATCATCTATAAATACTCTCCTGAAATCACCTGAACGAGTTAGCTCGTTTCAAAYGCTGGTCTTGAATTCCCTCGTGCAGGCCCGGGTGGTGAGTGGAGGGGTTGTGTGATATGTGCACAGTAACACCGTCCAACACGCGGTATGAGGCATTAAACCCAACAGCTGAGAATAAGCTGCAGCTATTGTTCTAGCTTTTCATAAGAGCTATAAGCAGCCCTGAAACCTGACGCCATCACACAACACCACAGGGTCTGCTGGGTCTTTTTTTGTCCTGCCAAGCTCCGCACCACAAACTTTTCACCTTCAGGAAAATTCCTTTTCCCTGACAACAAATGCAGCTTCTCTTTATTCTTTGTTTTTGTTTTAGATTTTTGTTTTTAATCTCAGAATGGTTGAAAAAAATTTAAATAAATAACCTCCAACGATTTCATAAAAAACAGAGGAAAACATCACATTTGAGCTTACTTGTGGTAAATGGTTTGAGATTATCACTATGAATTTGTAGCACTGGCCGCCTCCTTCTTTCTGTACATAAACACACCTCTGATGTATTGATGCAGAGGGAGGATGGGCTCCCCTCTCTGGTTTACGAGCCTACAGGATGGGCTGGTAATAGAAGGCAGACTGCTGGCGTCAGGCAGAATTGAGTTAAGCTAAGTGCTGTCTGGTGGGGCCATAACTGTAATGATTTGGAGAGAGGGGGGAGATACAAAGATCCCACCCTTAATTAGATAGATAGATAGATAGATAGATAGATAGATAGATAGATAGATAGATAGATAGATAGATAGATAGATAGATAGATAGATAGATAGATA